GTCACCACAGTGCAGTACTAAAGTATGAACACCCAAATGTATAATAATGTGATCATTGAAATGTTGCCAAAAGCTATGATCTTACAGATAACATTGTCACACCCTGAACCTAAGTTTATACTTTTCCCTTTAGAAAGTGACAGTTAGTTTAGGCAATTATACTATTTGTCCAATGTGATTTTAGAGTGCATGGTTGTTGTTCATTACAAATGGGCAGCGCTTGTTCCTCACAGCAAGAAGGTCCTGGGTTCAATTCCACCTCCAGATCTTTCTGTGTGGAGTAGGTTTCCTCTGGGTGCTCCAGTTTACCCTACCCCTAAAAATAAGTGTGGAGTGATGCCCACAACAATTGTAAAGCGCTTTGTGTCTCTGGTCTGATCACTTACTTACCAAGTGTTATACAGTTTGGGGTTCAGAGCATGAGAAGAGCTCTGAAATCTTTGATGATGTTTAGGACGGAAACATCAGCCTGTGCCTGATTTTGAGGTGGATTATCAGGCTCTCAACTTTTTTCTCACAGATAGTTGCTGTATATTAGTTCAGACGTGGCTTAAAGGTGTCTACTGTAGGAGGATTTTCCAAAATTTTAGGAAAGAACCGCCCTCTCCACTCTTTGAACAAAACTCTCTGGTCTTATTTGACGAGCACGTATCACCAGAATGATTGACAATTCTGTGCCATTGGCTGCAAGACAAACCCAAACCCTGATTAAAAACTGGACAGATGTTGAAATTCTTCCCCAAATGTACCATGGCTCATCATAGAGAATGCAATCTGGACAATGTGCATTTTGTCTCCTGACTTTTTCTTAGCAGTGAAGCACCACTCCAATGTCTGTCAGATCAGGGATATTATAGATTTTGAGATGGATTTGGTTTTCACGCTATCCTCCAAGTGAATATTTCTTCGCTCCCACCTTACTTTACCCTCCTCCTCCTGTTAATTGCAATTTCATAATTACCTTCCTAACAGATGGCATTTGCACCTGAAAAGTGAATCTTCTTGTAGCGATCTGAGTTGTGTGTGTGAATGTTCAGTTTTAGAGTCATAGGCAATAGCTGAGAGGACACCACTGAGCCTTTATAAAGATACATTAATCAGCATGATCTGGTCTTTCCTAACGATAATTGTGACCAAACTAATGATGACATCAGCGTTATGAGGTGTTAGCTTCTCAAAGTTGGGGCTACTTAAATCGTAGGGGTGCGCCTTTTCTTTGGTCTTGTTTCCCAAAAAGTGATTATCAGTTACTCTTCAAATAATGAAGAGAATATGAAACTTTTGTGTAGACTGTATAGACCCGCCCATGCTCACCCCTGCAGCTTCATGATTGGTCAAAATGAAATGATATCCTTACTATCCTCCTGCTCCTAGTTATCCCAACGGGAAGGACTATTTTAAATATATTATTGATGAGAAATACTTACTGAACATAATTGTGCAGTGACCCATGTTCAGAAATATATATAATTTTTAAATGAAATGAAATATAATTTAAGTGGCACATCACCTTTAACATTCTTTAAAATTGTTATGGAAATGTCTCATCTGTAATTTTCGTGTCTTTTGAACTTAATTTAATCTTCCACTCGCACTGTTCACGTTGATAGACACCTGAAGCTTTCCACATAAAACACACAAACTAATATATGATTGGACATAAAAGCCCATGTTGATTGTTTACTGCTTCTCCCAAACTGTATATGAGGAATAGCCCCTGCTTTACATTCTATTCCACATCAAAGTAAATCCTGACAAAAGAAAGACAATGATGAGATGAGAAATCTTGAAAAAGAGGAGACTATCAGAGTGTGGCAAAACCCTGTATATTTGCATTTCTATTTTTGGCCGGTGTAACATTTTTCTGAACTGCGCTGGAAGCTCCTTAACACCTTCTATAGTCTCTCATCATCTTTTCTTATTGTTTCTTCCCATTTACGTCGAAAACCATGGCCCTCTCTCCTTTCTATAACAAAGCCCTACGAGTATTTTCCCTTAATCTTTCGAGAATTCAACATTAGTAATTTCCAATGAACCTTATGTTCTCTTGATGGTCTTTAGAGCCGCCTCTGGCTACACAATACACTCGCTCTTTTTTTCTTCTTTATGACTAACTCATTACAGCAGCATCAAAGTTTAACGACAAAATAGCCTTGTGCCTACGAAACCACTTGCCTGCCCCTCTGTGGACCGAGCCGCTGTTTAAGTCATTACAATGGGAGAAGGAGTCCCATCGCTACACGCTGCTATGATGAAAAACAGTTTGAACTCTGAATGATATATCTTGAGACAAAGAAGCAGAAAAAATAATTAGCGGAGATGTGTAAGGATCCCCTGAGCAAAGATTACACTTGTGAGCATCAGTCTTAATTAGCTGGATCCTTTTAGTTAATGCTTGGCGAGGTCCCTGTTGCAGTCGGAGTCACGTACAGTATATAATCACTTCCTGGTCTTGTCTCGCTCATCACGTTAAGAACACTTGTTTCTCAGCTGAAGGACTGACACAAAAGCCTAGGAGTACCGAGGCACAAGCGAGACATGATTCGCAAAATTACCACTTGATTGTGATAATGCTTGACCCTTAAACAAGGCAGAAGGATTTTAATTAGTGCAAAGAAAAGGCTTAGGGGAACGAGGAAATGCACAAATGGCGTTCCGGGTACTTTCTAAATCAATAGACGTTTCTTAATTACGCAGTGTAGGAGAAAAATTGTTAAAATGAATAAAGAAATGAATAAATAAAGCCGAAAGAAACCCGACATAGGACGCTATTGCCAATTACTTTGCTGATTGAAAAGTTTATGTTGGAGAAACACTTTTTTTGCAATTTGCTCTTTTAGGCTTGAATTGCTTCCGTTATTTTTCCTTTTTGCCTTTTGAGTTTGGGAAAAGGCACTGGACCAATGCATTTGTTATATAAGTAAGTAACTACATAATTTATTTATTTATATAGCACATTTCACAGACTAAGGACATACAAATTGCTTTATTATCTGGTGAAATGTCCTTTCCATATGTCGATTCAATAAAACATAACCCAGAAATGGACTAATAAAGGGGTAGAAATGAAGGAATTAAAAAAGGACATAATAAAACACAGATTTTTCTTATGTGGCAATATTAAAACTATTCCCACGAGGAGAAGATGTGACACATCCTTACCAAGTTAGGAGTCAGGTTTAGTCTTTTTCAGCATTTATCCATCCATTAAAAAAAAAAAAACTTTTAAAAATACAGCTTTTTAGACTTCATATTCTAAGAAATCTGTATGGGTAATTTCAAATCTGTTCCAGAAATTCTATGTAGTGTCATTGTGTACCTGGATTCTCGCACCACTGTTTGGGAAACACTTGATTAGTTGACTAAAAAGGGGCTGGATGCGACATATCATGCACCTGCCCAAAACTGACATTCAAGGTTGAAATTTTTGCAACCAACTGGACATTTTCTGAGATGGACCTTCTAAATGTTATTAGTTGCCAGTTTGGTTTTTTTTATCACACAACAGCATGTATTGTGCGCCATTAAGCTCTGAATGTGTTAGATATGACAATAAATGAATCACAAGACGGTGCTGTTGATTCAATATGAAGCTTTTTAGATAGCATATTCATATAAATCTGTAGTACCAGTCATTGTGGAGCTACACAGCACTGCTCTTGAAAAAAAACAAAAACAAACATGTGTCTTCTCACTCCACCCTCCTCTCTTGACGAGGCCCCAGTCCCATCCCTGAGTAATGGCAAATGTGTGTTCACCGCAATGAAAAGGCAATTTGATCTTGTACGCATAGCCCATAAATGACGTCTTTCACTGCGTCCTGACCTGCTCTTAGCCTCCCTTTCTCGGCTCTCGGTGTTGTCAACTCAAATGTATTCAAATGGCCGCGCTGCGAACGGAACTGCAGCTTTCTACGGCCCACAAAAGTCATTCATATCACCTGCTGCAATATGCTACAATTATGTTTTGTCATTGGCCTCTTACGATGAATAGCAGCTCATGTTTTTATGGCCTGAGAGGTGCATTGCTGAAGGATGACTCATGTCAGCACAGCGGCCCTGTTCTCTCACTGTACTTCTGCCTCGGCTGACGCACTCCCCCTAGTGGGCAAAAGGTGGAGCGTGTCTTGTGTGGCTGTGTGAATGAAGGTGGAGCGTGTCTTGAGTGGCTGTGTGAATGGATCATTTGAAGTGAATGAAACAAACAAAAACATATATCTAGCAGGGAATTATGTATTATTATATTTGTGCAGTGTGCTTTATGGTGAACAGATTTTAAGATTGCCATTTTAAATAAAAAAAATAATCCTTTTGTTATTGCACTGTCTCTGCCTCTCTGCGTCTTTTGGTTAATTGTATTTTTCTAGGTACTAGCCCTGGGTGTTATTTTATTTTATTGCCATTTTACCCCACTCCAGCTACACTAGCCAAATGCAACTGTTGAAATATTGTATATAATATTGTTTTATGATATAAAAAATCATAAAATATGTGATAAAATATTTCTTATTCAAATACTGTTTACGTTCAATTCAATATTGTTATAATTTCAAATCTGCAAATGTTCCACAAATCCAATGGGATGTGCTTGAGTACCTGGATTCTCGCACCACTGTTTTGTTGACTAAAAAGGGGCAGGGGGCGGCAAATAATCTCAAAACTATCACATATCATGCACCTGCCCAAAAATACAATAACATTTTAATCTTTTGTCCGATGAAAATTCTTGCTAACTGGAAATGTTAAATGGACCTTTTAAATGATATTAGTTGCCAGTTTTGGTCTGTGTGAATTTAACGCTATATTTCACACAACAGTGAAACATAAATAGAACCTATATCACACAACAGCATGTATTGTGTATCATCTATTTCAGCTATGAATGTGTTAAATATGACAAATGTAATCACAAGATGGTGCTGTTGATTCAAAATACGCCCGGCCCGGAATCCCGGCAGATAACAGAGCCCTGTGAATCGTACCTTTTCTGTGTGTTTGCAGATGACCTGTGCGATCTGAAATCCAACAACACCATGGACAATGAGATGACAGCCAAAGAGCGCGGCGTGCTGGGGGACAGTGAGAAGGAGGAGGTGGACCAGAGGGAGGATGGTCCGGAGGAGGAGGAGCAGGACCTGGAGGAGCTCAGGGCGCAGGTGGTCCAACTGCTGCTGGAGCTGGACGAGGCCCGCGACACCTCCATCAAGCACCAGGAGAGTTTCCACGAGCTGCAAGGTGAAGGTCAACCATTACTTCAAACAATAATAATGTTGAGACCACCAGACGTTAAGACCATCTAAACACACTTAATATCTAATTCATATAAGTATATATCTAAGTAGTATAAGTAAGTATAAGTATTTTATCTGAATACAACCTTCATGAGTTTTTTCACACATTTCTAAAGTGAAGGCAGGACGCTGTATAGAAAGTGTCCTGGATTTTGGAAACTGCAAAAGTGATGCAAAACATGTGAAAAATTACTCAAACTTGGCAAAATGTTCATTTGAGCACATTTGGACTGCCTTAAAACAAGATTTGACAATGGGACAAAGCGAAATGATGTTGTTTTAAAAAGATACAAGAAATGTCTCTCTTTTGAATGAGAAAATAAAGCCACAGACTAAATATTTTTGGCAAATCTTGTTTAAAGACAATCAGAATGTCAGGTTATTCACCATTTCTTTCTATCCAAGTGAATATTCTTGTGCCTGTTTTGGGATCTGAAATGTGGCCATATGGGCTGAGAACAAATAATGCCCCATAAAAAAAAGATTCAAGTTCACTTTCAGAAGCCATATTGTTTTGTGCGATGACACCGGTTTGGGGCTACACAGAAAGCTATAATCGTTCCTTGTCTCTGTTTGAACAGAAACTACAAGTTAAATATGCTTTGTTTTTTACCCTTGGACTTTTAAGGAACTTTAATAAGCTGTGCTCTCTCCGGGGCACTCTACTTTTTGTTCTTTTCTAATCTCAGCAGAGAAAATTGCTTTAAGTAAGTCTCGAACTTGTGTCGTTTTCATGACTTTTCGAAGATAAAGCAGTAACGTGTGAAATAACAGAAACCTGACTTTTCATTAGAAATTAAGATTAAGATTAAGAGATCATACAGATTTGTCCTACAGTGAAGGAAATGTCAGTGTTGCATCACAAATTACAGAACAGTAGGATTGAGGAGTACACAACACAAGATAAGGGTATATTAAGTACTGTATAACACAACTTTAAACTATAATACAATATAATCTATATCTTTACCTTAACATAGAAGCAAGTATAAATATATATACATTGAAATCTCATTTAGTCCAGAGCATCAATACTGTTGATCTAAAAACATGTCCGACATAGAATCTAGAACACTCTATTGATTTGTAATTCACAGCAGACTGGAGGGAGATAGGCCCATCGCAAAAACCAATAATATAGACATAAAGAAGACTGATCCTTTCCACATCTAACACATAAGCGCTCGTATCGGTTTTACTCTGAGATACTGGAGAAAATCGTTCTCCTTGCCCTTCTTTTTAACAACATTCATGGACACATTGGTCATCTGCCCCTAATGGACAAATGGCTCTCTGTGTTTTTCTTATCATTGCATTTCTTGTTCTTTAACGGTTTGATTCTCTGATCTGTCTTGCCAAATTCAACAGTTTTGTTACGTCCTCCAAGATATCTGCTATTGTAATGTAGGGCTATAAAATAATACATTGAATTGAATACTAGACATGGTTTCCCCAGTTTTCAAGGGAGTGAGTAAGGTCCTGTCTATGGAACCTCAGCCAAATGTGTGTGTGTGTGGCATGGGGGTCTGAGCTCAGCTGTTTTGTGTGGCATTCCTCAGACAACTGCACACATTCCAAGAGAAGCTTCCAGGCCGCGGGAGAGCGAGAAAAAAGCCTTGAGCAGCACTGGACTTTGGGACAGCTGATCCAGACATGACTGATGTACTTTTACTGGGCACTGGTTTCGGCGGAGGTGCAGAGTAAAACTATAGTCAGTCTTTAGTTGTTTAGTTGATTCATTTGCCAATGGTGTCTCTGTCAACCAAAAAATTTATCTATTGATCTTATTTAACAAGTCTAGAGTTTTTCTAGGTCTATAAGGTTTTTTACTCTTTACTCACTTTTAATAAGTGCTAAGACTGGTGAATGTAACTTGAAATAGAGACAAAATAGTTTTGTAGAGAGTGCCTCTTGAAAGTATTAATACATCTTGAACTTTTGCACATCTTGTTAGATTTAAAACCATAAACAGAAAAGATTTTATTTCAATTTATTTACTGAACGTCCACATACAAGAAACAGACAACTGTGAAGTGAAAGTAAAGTTTTATACTTTTGAGAGGCACTGTATGTGGCGGTATATAGTTTTATGAGCATGTTGAGATCAAATTCAATCAAATGTATTTTTGTATAGCCCTAAATCACAACAGCAGTCGCCTCAAAGGACTTTACGAAGTTGACAATTCCTCAACAACAAAGAGTTCGAACACAGGAAATGCAATAATAAGAAACACCATTCAGCCGCAGCTTCTCAGGGACAAGCTGGAGACAGCTGGAGTGGACCACGACCTGTCTGAGTGGATCCTAGACTACCTCTCAGACAGACCCCAGTTTTTGAGAACCAGGGACTTTGTGTCTGAGGTCCTGACCTGCAGTGTGGGCGCAAAGACTGTCCCCCCAGGAGACAGTCCTTGCGGCGTTCCTCTTCACTCTCTACACTGCGGACTTCAGACACAACATGGACGGTTGTGTTCTACAGAAGTTCTCCGACGACTCTGCCATCATCGGACACAGCTCCGAGGACGATGACGCAGAGTACAGAGGAGTAATACAAGACTTTGTGGACTGGAGTCAGCGGAACCACCTCCTCATCAACGCGGGGAAGACCAAGAAGATGGTGGTGGATTTCCGCAGACGTCACTCTGCCGCTCCAGCTCCAGTGAACATCCAGGGAAGGAACATTGAGAGAGTGGACTCTTACACGTATTGAGGTGTGGGTGTTGATCAGCACCACAAACTGGACTGGACTTATAACACAAGCGCCCTCTTCAAGAAGGGCCAGAGCCGACTCTACCTGCTGAGGAGGCTCAGGTCTTTTGGAGTGCAGGGGCCACTCCTGAAGACCTTCTATGACTCTGTGGTGGCATCAGCCTATTGTACGATGTGGTCTGCTGGAGCAGCAGCATAACAGAGAGGGACAGGAAGAAGCTGGACAAGGTCATCAGGAAGTCCAGCTCAGTCCTGGGCTGTTCCTTGGACACAGTGCAGCAGGTGGGGGACAGGAGGGTCCTGGACAAACTAAAATCTATTCTAGACCATGACTGTCACCCCCTGCAGGACACTGTGTCTGCTCTGGAGAGCAGCTTCAGTGACAGACTTATTCATCCTCGATGTGTGAAGGAGAGGTTCCGCAGGTCTTTCCTTCCTGCTGCTGTCAGACTGTACAAAAAACAATAAGGACTAATCTCAGCAGAGAGATCACTGCCAACTTTATCCCACGTGTCATGCATCGCTGCAATATCCTTAACTTATATCAAAATGTGCAATATACTGCTGCTAATGTACAGATGTAAACATACTGCCTGTGATGTACAGATGTAAACATACTGCTGCTAATATACAGATGTAAACATACTGCTGCTAACATGTACAGATTTTTTACTTGTTCTTTGATGCGAGATTTAAAGATTTTGTTTTATTTTAATTAGTTTAGCTATTGTGGGGCGACAGTAGCTCAGTTGGTAGAGCATTGGCCTTTGGGCCTGAAGGTCGTGGGTTCGAGCCCACCATAAGACCTACTTCACGACTCCCACTGATGACTGCTGTCGATGTGTCCTTGGGCAAGACACTTAACCCCACTTTGCCCAAAGCCCCCACTGAAAGATCTCAGCTCCTGTGGACTCACCACCTGCAGGAGGATCAGTGAGGGGCTGGTGCTATGTGTACTGGGTGCAGCTCTGACTGTCGCCCCCCTGACCCAGAAATGGATTAAGGGGAAGAAAATGGATGGAGTTTAGCTATTGTTCATTTAACTTGTGCCATGTGCTCGTCTCTCCTACTGTTCTAAAACTTGTGATGCAACATTGAAATTTCCCCACTGTGGGACGAATAAAGGATCTCTTAATCTTAATCTCATATAGGAGCCTCTTAGGATATACCAGGGTGACATATATCCATAAATGTTGATAAATGTCCATAAATGTGGTCAAGGAAAAAACTCATAGTAATACCACTTTCTGATCATTACTTAAGGGAGTTATCAACCAAAAAGATGGCGAAACAAATCCATGTTGTTCGCTTGTTGCCTACTTATTTCCCAATCCTCTTACATTTTTATTTCTCTATTCTAATCCTGACCTTTGCAAACATATTTTCCTCCACAGCCAGCATCTATTTGAGCTCGGCATCAGATTAATTTTGTAATTCAAAACTTGTAGTAAAGAGCTGGTGGCATTTCAGTGGGTGGAACTTAAGCAGAAAAACCCTGTGAAGCCTTCTACTGCAACTAATCACATCATAACACAAAACACACTTATCCAGGGGTGCTTTGGCATTTCACTTCTAAAACAGGTCATTAGAGGACTCTCCAAGCGCTTTTGGTAATGAGTGAGTATAGCATCCTCCAGCCTTGGCTCCGCACTCTCAAAGATACAAACCTGCTTGTGTCATTCATGTCTGCTTCAAGGTTGAAATGCTTATCAAATTGTCATCTTTCCATTGGCAGACTGAAGTGACATTTTTCTCTTATCTCTGGGTTCCTGTGATTCATTCCCCCCCCCCCCCCCCCCCCCCCTCCTCCTCTTCCTCCTCCGTCCATCAGGGCTGTTGGAGGATGAACGTCTGGCCAGCGCCCATCAAGCTGAGGCCTTCACGCGCCAGATCCAGAACCTGCAAGGTAGAGGGAAGATAACATTGTTCATATTCTCCACATACACTTTTGTAAACAGTGCTCCAAAGTTGCATCAGCAAAACAGGCACAGAATAATAGGTCAGCTGAATGTCAAGACTAGCATTGGGTAATGGCATACAGCACTGTATAAGAGGGTTGTATATTGTGCTTTGGTCGTTGTTTGCAAAAAATAAATAATTCATTTAACATACATATACACTGTATGTATACTCTAAATGTACATATACGTATTTTGGGCAGTGTATGACTACTGTCTTCCAAGTGCAATTACAGCCATAATCCTATGGCTCAGCTAAGATTGGGAAATATGTCGTGTTTAGATTAGATGAGAATTAATATCAATGTATTATTTATAATCTTAAATAACAAACTATTATCTTGTTTGATGTGTGCTTATCCTGAGTTCTCCTATATTTACCGTCCTGAAAATTTCCACTATGGGACGAATATAGGTTCTTATCCCATCTTATAATATTAGCTTTAATTACTTGTTGGTAGATAATATGTTTGGTAAAAAAGGTTTCAATCCCAACAATGTTTTATTTTAATGGAAGTGATTTCCATTCATAAAGAACTGGTCTGAGGAAGCTGGACTGTATAGATTCTTTATGGTTCTCTCACATAATCATTATTAGTGTTGGTATTTAGCACTTTTCCAATAACAAGTTTTTTCCAAGTTGCTAGTGTCTCGCAAATAAGCTTCTCTTCTGTAGTTTCCACAATCTTTGTAAAGTAATTCATTACTTATCTATCTGCCCCTCACACATCGAAATTCTTACCACTCTTTATAGACTTTATACTGTAACAATAACATTATTATGCAGTTTTTGCCTCTAGAGACTCTCAAACCTGTTCTCACCTCAAACATGTGCTGCTCTGAATCTTAAACAACATTCCTCAGCTTGACGTGTTCAGCCCAATGCTCTAAATGTTTAGAAAAACATATTCATATTTTACTGTTGATGTTTCATGAACTGGGAGAGACTTTTTTTCCTTCTGTGAAATATCTGTTACAATGAGTTACATCAGCTCAAATACTGACAAAACATGTTTTATAAAGTCATCAAACATGTAATGACAGCCTGCAGGCCCCGTGTCATATTTCAGACACACTTCTCATCAAATGTTTTTAATTTAGGCCAAAAGAAAACTGATATAAAACTTCCAAAGCAAGAAAACTGATTCAATGCCGAAATAATTGTGACAGACAGTGTCAGTCACAATTGAAATTCTTGATTGCGAGCGGAGCTTGCTCTATCTGTTCTTCTTCTGAAAATCTTACCTGTGGTGGATATGCCAAGGAGTGGGACAAAAATGTAAATATAAATTGAATACATTTGAACTTACTGACATCACCTATTAAATAGTTAAATGAAAATACAAATAAAACATCCATCCATCCATCCATTTTCTTCCCCTTAATCCATTTCTGGGTCGGGGGGGCGGCAGTCAGAGCTGCACCCAGTCACAGAGCACCAGCCCCTCACTGATCCTCCTGCAGGTGGTGAGTCCACAGGAGCTGAGATCTTTCAGTTGGGGCTTTGGGCAAAGTAGGGTTAAGTGTCTTGCCCAAGGACACAACGACGGCAGTCATCAGTGGGAGTCCTGAAGTAGGTCTTATGGTGGGCTCGAACCCACGACCTTCAGGCCCAAAGGCCAATGCTCTACCAACTGAGCTACTGTCGCCAAATAAAACAATGCATTATAATAAGTTAATAAAAAACGTATCAGTATTATGCATAAGGACACAACATTCCTAAAGAAAAACCTGTAGAAAGGGCTTTTATACTGGGAAAGTGTTGTTGCACCCAGTTTCTGTGGAATAAGTAAATATTCAGGAATAAAAAATGGGATTGCACAATCTTTGGTAAGTGATTATATTCAATACTAATAGATCTAAGAAAACACTAATTATGCAAAGATACTTACAGGACAATGCAAGACATTTCTGCGGGTGCGCATGTCCGCTTCAACATGTACAACACTATTCTTGTTACTTTCAAGAGATTTGTATAAAAAAATGCCTGAGGCGGAGTGTGGTCTGGAAGTATTGAAATTCTCTCAAACACTGTGCCCCTCAGCCCAGCTGCGGTCAGTGCAGGAGGAGATGATCAGCCTGGAGGAGGAGAAGGAGAGTGAGCTGGCCGAGGCTCAGGAGGAGCTGCGTATTGCCCACGAGGAGGTGATTCTGCTGCAGCAGGCGGCCGAGGAGGCGGCGGCTGAGCGAGAGAACGACATCGCCAGTCTGCAGGAGGAGCTGTGCAGGAGGCGCGCAGAGCTGCAGAGGCTCAGCGACGAAACACAGGCCTACGAGCTCGAGATCACCACTCTGAGAGCCGAGATCAACATGAAGAGCCAACGCAGGGAGGCCGAGAGGAGAGAGGGTGAGGAGGAGAGGGAGGCAGAGAGGAGAGGGAGGCAGAGAGGAGAGAGAGGCAGAGAGGAGAGGGAGGTCGAGAGGGTGAGGAGGAGAGATGGAGAGGAGCACAGGGAGGCCAAGAGGAGAGAGGGTGAGGAGGAGAGGGAGGCCAAGAGGAGAGAGGGTGAGGAAGAGAGGGTGGCAGAGAGGAAAGAGGGAGGTCGAGAGGAGAGGGTGAGGCGGAGAGATGGTGAGAAACACAGGGAGGCCAAGAGGAGAGAGGGTGAGGAGGAGAGGGAGGTCGAGAGGAGAGAGAGTGAGGCCAAGAAGAGGGAGGGCGAGGAGAGGGAGGCCAAGAGGAGAGAGAGTGAGGAGGAGAGGGAGGCCGAGAGGAGAGAGGGTGAGTAGTAGAGAAGGTGAGGAGGACAGGGAGGCAGAAAGGAGAGAGGGGGAGGAGTAGAGAGGGTGAGGATGACAGGGAGGCCGGGAGGAGAGATGGTGAGGAGGAGAGAGGGAACCTGTAGACTTTATATAAGAGGATTGACCAGTGGGTGTAGTACTTTGTGAAGGCTGTTCTAAGGTGCTGAAGGTTAGCAGGAACAGTATCACAGTAACCATCGCACGGTCCTCGACACGTGACAGAACCAGAGAATATACCAAACACATTAGAACTAGCTTTTGTTGTTTTTAGCATCAGCTCTCACCAAAATAACAAATCTGATAGACCAGGGGTTCCCAAAGTGGCGTCCAGTGGCCCTCAGGAGCTTTGGGCACAGCTGACTTGGAAAATTCTAATCATTACCGTATGGCCCTTAAAACGGACACATTCAGCTGATCGACAAACATATAATTCCAATATAAAGTACACAGTCCCATTATGTACCCACCAGTACATTCATTCATCATTCAATCATTGGGATTTTGAAGCCGTGGACTCGCTGGCCTCGCTCTTTCTGCTCCCCTCCCCGCACCCACGAAGCTATCGCCCCCCACACACACCCACTGTTGGGACGGAGCTAGTGTCTCCCAACATGGATAATACATGAATATGGATTTGCACGTGGATGGCGTGACCATAAAACGATAGAACCGGGAAGAGCGGAGGAACGGGACTTTCTTTTGGATGGCTGTTTCGCTAAGTAAGCAGTAACCGGTGATGAAGACACGAAGCTTCAGGTTAGCTCCTCGGCTTGTTGTGCTAACTCAGCCGTCTATGCTAACGGACCTGTAGATTTCTCACAAAAGTGGGGGCCAGTGGTCCGTTGTGATTGGTCACAATCTGCGACCCGAAACACATTCTCTTCCTTGTTTCATCAAAACTCGATCTAAAATATAATGTCACGCCAGCACAAATCTGCGCTAATTATTCTTCAAAGGACGTATATCCCAATGCACTACATGGACATGGACAGCATTTTTGTAATGAATACGAAAATAAAGTCAGTTAGTGCAGCTTTAATAAGGCGTCTCTAATCCAGATTCTAATATATGCAACCTGCCGCGTTTGACCTTATAAAGCTCAAAATTAGTACATCGGAGACTGTTTCAATTGTTCCTAAAGTCTTGTATTTGCATAAATGTATGTATATGCATAAAATTGAAATAATCATTCAGAGCCCTTCAATACACTGCAAAAAAATTATAAAATATGAGGTAATAAATGCTTGAATCAAGTGGTTTCTATCTTAATATGAGTACATTCTGACTGTCTAAAAACAAGATTTGCCAATGGGACAAAGCCATTTAGTCTTATTTCTTTTTAAAATTAGATCATTTTGCTTTTCCCATCTGAAAATCTTGTTTTAAGGCAGCCAAAATGTGCCCAAATTAGGATACATTTAGCTAAATTTAAGCAATTTTTTACTTTTTTTTCATTACTTTTTGCAGTGTATGAGGCATTTCATGTACAAGGACATTACACGAGGCATATTTCTGAGCAAAAAATGTCAATAATGTGGTTTTCAATCCACTATATTTTGTTTATGCAGCTCACTTGCGCAATTCAAAAACATTTATCAATAATGTATCAAGGCAAGTGCAGTCCTGATGCTTTAATGCTTTAATGGAGAGTGTGAGGAAACGAGAGGGATAAATATTAGTAAAGACAAGACATTCACAAATGATCAGTTTGTCAAAGCAAATAGAAAGTTGTATTATTGAGTAAAAGCCTGATGGCCAACTGCTGATCAGTAACGCGAAGACAAACAGCGAGGCTTGTGTCTAATTAACAAAACAAAGCGTGTTGTCTTGGCCCGCACTCACAACGTGCCAGCTCCTCCATTAATCATTCATTCACACTAATGAATACTACAGACTACAAATATGATTTCAGAGGGTTCAGAAGGGTGTCGTGTGTTTATGTGCATCTCAAAATGTGTGTTAATCTGCATTTAAGACGTCTGCGAGCTGTGAGGTAATGATGGGAGGAGCCAAAACCAACTGCGTGTTCGTAAACAGAGCTGCCAGGAGCCTTATTCATGTCAAAAAAGTCTAACCGCATTTTAGACAGACATTTCTGCGGACTGAAAAAAGTGATCAAATATGAGAAAATAAAAGCGCAAATGCAGTGTTTTTTTTATCTTATTCGAGTACATTCTGATGTAAAACAGGATTTACCAATGGGTCAAAGCCATTTAGTATTATTTCAAGAACTGTTTTTTTTTTCTCATTCAAAGGGTGACATTTCTTGTATCTTTTAAAATCAAGATATTTTTGCCTGTCCCATTGGCAATTCATGTTTTGAGGGAGAAAGTATTCTTTATATACCTGGTTTTCAAATGCATCTATTTTTTTTTCTGAGTACCAACCCTCACTAGCCTCTCAGTATGTAAAGATTCAATGTTTTCTAATATAAAGATAAAGATGTAGTAAGTAGTAAGTAATCTTTATTTATATACCGCCTTTTCACTACACATCAAAGTCTCAAAGTGGTTTACAATTGTTATTTTTTTAGGGGATTTGTCCTCTCGCTCCACACAGAGATAGGAGCAGGGTCGCCAGTATAGGAGGCGCATGCCAGACCTATTGTACATATTTTTAGTGGTAGGGGAAACCGGAGTACCCTGAGGAAACCTACGCAGACACGGGGAGAACATGCAAACTCCACTCAGAAAGGCCCTAGTCCGACCGGGATTTGAACTCAGGACCTTCTTGCTGAGAGGTGAGAGTGCTATCCACTCAGCCACCCAAGATGGCATGTTGCGATCTGATTTGTCCACAAAATGTCACTTAAACAAGACGCAGAACTTTAAGAATCATTTTAATCTACATACACTTAAAGTTGACATACCTAACTTTGAAACCACGTAAAAATAATTGAACAGCCTTAATAACATTCATGTAACTAGTTCCTCAATCGCAAAATTGTTTGGTTTTTAACTTTTTTTACTTTTAACTTTCAAAAGCCGGTCTAACGACACAACAAAGAAAGCGCCAACCCTCACTCAGCCAATCAGCTCTCAGTAGGTGAAAGACAGCATGTTAAAGTCTTATTTGATCACAATATGTTACTTAAACAATACTCTTTCTGTTGGGTCAAATTTATGAATTAATGAAACAAAAAAGATAGGTACTCCAGCTTTAAATATAGGAGTTTGAGATTCTCTAAATCTCTAATGAAGTATGTCTATTCACGTTACTGTTTGTGAGTAGATACATTCTGATCTGACATGTGTTGTGTTACTGGGTACATAAAAAGGAACAAAATCTGCTATACTGTTTTTAAATACAAAAATGAACACAAACTTCCGGCATATAGTAAATTATTATATTGTTACGTGCGTGTGGTTGTAGGGGATGTGGACTTGTTAAAGGAGGAGTGTCGTGTGCTGAAAGAGGAGTGTGCTGCGCTGAAGGAAGACAACAAACGCCTCTCTGAGAAACTCCAGCTGCTTCAAAGACAGCGCACCAGGTGAGAGCTACTGTGCAGATATACTGTAGCTCAGGGGTGGGCAATTATGTTCTCCGGGGGGCCCCCGTTGGGATATCGGTATGTTGTGGAGGGCTTGTATTTCATTTAATTTGAGTGTAAGCTAAGTCTATAACAAACAGATATACAAAAGTATTCACAGAAGAGCAGCAGGAAACCTGGTGATATCCAACGTTATATTTAGGTTTGTGTAAATTGTTTCTGATTTTTTGCATCTGCAGCTATGTTTTAACCTTTTACAATATCGGAGGTACTTTGAGGAAATTATTCATTTATACGTTTGGATTGTATTATTTTTGCTTGTCTTTAGATTTCAATTCTTGCTTGGATTGAACTAAAGCTGGACTAAAGCTAAAAAAGGCCAAGTATTGTGGACAGATGAATGTTTTTGATGAATTACTATGAGCACGTCATCGCAGCACTCATTAAGTCGCAAAGATTCCCATTCATTTAAATAGGGGGAGTCAGAATTAAGTTAGTGGACGGGAAAAGGTCAGAGGGCCACACAGAAATGTGAATCGGGCCGCATGGGGCTCCCGGGCCGTACTTTGCCCAGGTCTGCTGTAGATCATAGTTACAAATGGTGCATCAATCCAAATGTACTGATCAAACTGCCTTCTATCTGAGGTACTGTCAAAATATTCTGTAATTTCTCTTGAACACCTTTATTGTTGATGAAATGAGAACAAACTAATGAGACAATTTTTGTATTTAAACTTTAAGTATTTTTTGGTTTCTGGGATACTTGTATTTTGGGATATTATGAGCAGTTCCTGTTCCAATTGTATATCACCTCCAAAATAACTAATGAAATACACTGTATGTTCTTATACTATGATAACCAAAAATAGCAGACGAAATTTCAAGATGTTGCGGTGGACTTTCGACATATAGAGCGTTCCTCCTCCTGCTGGATTCCTGTTTGTCTTTCTTGGTTAGGACCGGTCACAGTGTTGCTTAATATTTTAATTGATTGACTGCGGAACCTTCCGCAGTCAACCATTGGTTTTGTATTTCTTTATTCCGTCATTTTTTTTGACACGTTTCACAGCTTTCACATTTTCAACAATTTCCACAAGTTATACATCAAAACGTTCCACATGTTTGGGAGATTATTGCTATTACTTTTGGGACTTCAGCGATTTCCGGTTTTTCCGCAATCGGACAAAAATCTGCATTGAGAATTCTGCAATGCATTTTAATAGGCCCATGCATTTTAATAGGACTTCAGCTCTTTCAGACATTTCTACAGTTTCAATGATTCAACAGTTTCAAGGATTCAACAGTTTCAAGGATTTCAGCAGTTTCAAGATTTCAAGAGTTTCAAGGACTTCAACAGTTTCAAGGACTTCAGCAGTTTCAAGGACTTCAGCAGTTTCAAGGACTTCAGCAGTTTCAAGGACTTCAGTGTAATCATGCAACCTAATAGGGATTTTTCCATGTAAACCAGTATAATGCAACTTAATAGGGATTTTTCCATGTAAACCAGTATAATGCAACTTAATAGGGTTTTTTCATGTAAACCAGTATAATGCAACTTAATAGGGTTTTTTTTCATGTAAACCAGTATAATGCAACTTAATGGGGATTTTTCCATGTAAACCAGTATAATGCAACTTAATAGGGTTTTTTTACATGTAAACCAGTATAATGGAACTTAATAGGGTTTTTTACATGTAAACCAGTATAATGGAACTTAATAGGGGTTTTTACATGTAAACCAGTATAATGGAACTTAATAGGGTTTTTTACATGTAAACCAGTATAATGGAACTTAATAGGGATTTTTCCATGTAAACCAGTATAATGCAACTTAATAGGGTTTTTTACATGTAAACCAGTATAATGCAACTTAATGGGGATTTTTTCATGTAAACCAGTATAATGCAACTTTATAGGGGTTTTTACATGTAAACCAGTATAATGCAACTTAATAGGGGTTTTTACATGTAAACCAGTATAAAGGATAACAGTTTAAAGGATATCAGGAGCTTCAAATACTTCAGGAGTTTCAAAGATGTTTAAAGTATTTTAACAGTTTCAAGGATTTCAAGGATTTTTCAGCTAAATTCCACATTAGATCTGTTCCGCAGTCAATCGCAATGGCTTCAGCCATTGCAACGGTTTCTAGTTATAATGTGGAGTGAGTTTAAGCAGCCAGCATTGGTCTTCAGATCAAGTTTTGAATCTGCTTGCCACCTGTTTGATCCAATAATACAATGTGAGAGATTAAAACACACCATTAGTCCGACTATTAACAGCAATATTTGGGGTAAATTCATAAGAGTGACCTTGGAAACAGCTCCAGTCTCTCTATGAAGTCCATTTTAGAGGAGGATTTAGCAGATGGTGAACTTAAGCAGGCTCCATCTGTGTGGGAGGATGGTGTGATCAAACGGGAACTTAGTTTTAAAAATATATGGTTGTTTTTATTGGAGCAGAAGGCTTTAAGAAGTGTGTGATTAATATTATCAAACATACGCTGGCTATTAATAGAAAACTAACATGACGAAACAACTATCGGTACCAAAGAAAAACTAGAGCAACATGAATCATGTGAGCATGTAATGGAGTATATGTGAGTTGGCAGACTGTAGGTGTGGTACTGTACTGTCGTGTGAGGTCGTTGTGGTGCTTAGGGGTTGTCGAGCCTGCATTAGTATTATTACCTATTTTCAAACAGCGATACAGGGAAATTATTTCAGATATAAAAGAATGTCAAATTATTTATTTCTGCTAAACTGTATTTACAGTCGTTAGAAGATTTTCAAGTTGCATTGAACAACTTTCCTGATGGGGTACACTAAACCGCTTGTTGCCATTTTTCTTCAATGATGTAAAATAAAAAAATCACATATAAAATTCAAATTCTGGCTTTGGGGTGGCTCTCCTCTCCACAGATAAGACCTGTAATTCAACAGAATTATGTCCTCTTAGGTGTATTCATACAGTACCTACTGAATCCGTACTTTAAAAAAAACTATATTTATTTCTATTGTGTTAATCTTGTTGTTCACATTGTTCTAACATTTTGTTATTTGAACAAAGCAGTGAACCAAAAGTGATGAGGTGCCATTCTTTACAAATGTAACTTATTTCGTCCATTTCGTCAAACGCTGTGCTGCACACACAACAAAAACCAAAACCAAATATCTCACTGCTAACACATAGTATATTAGTCTGGCACAAACCAAAAATCCTTTGAATCCATAGTTCATCCACAGTTCAATCTAGGGCTGGGCGATATGGCAAAAAAAAAAAATCTCCGATTTTTTCACACCAAATCCGATTTTCGATTTTAATCGATTTATTTTTTTCTATTTAAAAACAAACTACAACTGACAAAGAAATAGATTTTCCTTTATGCAGTTTAATCTAAATCCCCATGGAGCATAAGTGTAACAGGAATTAAGCCTTAAAACATGCTTGTAAACGAGATGGCTCTGCCATTGTAAACAGTGAAAATGTAGCTTAACAGTTTTATAATAACTTCACTTACAATGACACTATGCACCTTCAAAATAACTTAAATCACACAAACAAGGCCCATCGCAAATATATCAATCCTATTAAACACATGCATTATTTACATGAAATATCACATTTTTAAAACTGATTACTCAAAATAGAAATGTTGTAACAGACAGTCTTTTCCAAAAGCCTCCTCGGGTTTTCATGCTTGTTCTTTCAACTGTGCCTGAGTAACTGTGCTGTAGTACAACGCTCGGTCCAGCTGGTGGCGCTAATACTAACTTCAGTGACTCCCGCATTGTGCGAGCTTCCTGTTTACATTCTGATACTGTAGCTAACAGCTACTGTAGCAGCTACTGTAGCTAACAGCTACTGTAGCAGCTACTGTAGCAGCTACTGTAGCAGCTACTGTAGCTAGCAGCTACTGTAGCTAACAGCTACTGTAGCTAACAGCTACTGTAGCAGCTACTGTAGCTAACAGCTACTGTAGCTAACAGACAGCGGGGAACACGTTGTTTGTATCAGAGCAATGAGAGCAATGTGTGAGACGTGTCTTTCCCCAAAGTGCAGCGGCTCAGTGGGACACGAGTGTGTGCGCGCCACGGACACGGGAGTGCGCTTTGGAATAACGAGCGTGAGAGAGCGTGAAAGATGTGGCGTACGAACATGGCGTACGAACATAGCGACCGGAGCCTGCGTGCGTGTGTGTGTGTGTTCTGGCGATTTAAATAAAGTCTGATTCTTGAACGTTTGAAGTGTTATTGCAACAGCACCAACTGTGAGAGCGAGCATCAGGCCAGAGGGAGACTGTTAGCATTAGGTTAGCTTCAAAATGACTGCTCAACACCATAGACCCGCGGTTAGCGCGTTAGCGCTGTAGTTCTGCGCTGGAGAAAATAAAAATCGAATTTTTAAAAAAAGAAATCGCCCTAAACGTAAAACTCGAATTAATGATTAAAATCGATTAATCGCCCAGCCCTAGTTCAATCCATAAAGCACTGGTCCAGAAGAGCACAGCAGAAAGTTCAATGGACTCAAGTAGAATTCACAGTGGAACAGCTGAAAGAAGTCTGCTTGGGTCCTTGTGTTCCCTCGAGCACCAGTGAGTTCAAATATATCCAATGCCACAAGTTTATGTCATACTGTTGAACATTCCAGGCACTGTTCCTTTCAAAATACATAAAAACATACACATTTCAGGATGTGACCTTCTAAACATTTAAGTTTGATTGAATTCAAATGAATGTATTATTTGTATAGCCCTAAATCCCAATAGTTTTCTCACCAACATAGACCAAAGAATCAAACCGTTCACATACTGGTCCATAAGGGGCAGATACCAATGTCCATGCTTCCTTTACAGCATAACTTGTTCTCTGCCTGCATCTGTCTCATCCTCATCAACACTTTTACTCATTCATTATTAGTTATTACAAGTCCCTCGCTCTGACCCCTCTCGCCCCGGCAGCTCCAGCGTGTACCTGTCTCTGAAGGAGGAGGACGGTGATGCTCCCGAGGGGAAAGACTCTGACGAGGTCCTGACGGAGAGCTACATGACCATGGCCAACGCCGAGAACTGCCACCTACGGGACGCCTCCATCCAGAAAAACATCTCCTTTGACGGGAAGTCAATGACCCCCACCACATGGAGCGGGGGCATGGGCGAAGTCCTCTCCTTACGGGACCAGCTTAAACAGGCCGAGGAGAAGGCGCAGCAGGTTCAGACGGAGGTAACGGATTACAAATGACCATGTTACTGATATTGGGTTTTTAAATTTGTTGCGTTAATTGATTATACGCAGATTATTTATTATATAATTTGATAATTAATTACAGCTAAAGTTGTGCTTGAACAATTACAAACCCAGCCAGAGAATTATTTTGGGCAAACGTAGGAGATTGTAGGAACACTTTTATCTTCACTCGTCCATCCTTGATCGTGTGAAGCTATTTTTTCAAATATAATCTCCAGAATATGGCAAAACAGTCTAAATGTCTGCCTGGGTTTGTAACTAATAACTACCTCTACATATTATCAGCACAATTTCCTTGACTGTGTAAGAGTGAAATAGTCGCAGCATTTTATGTGAAGTCACGCTTTTGCTTACTTTTCTAATCCACAGTATTCTTTGCTTTATGCATTGGTCACATTTTTGCAGCATCCTATAAATGTCCTTATATATTTACGCATGGAGCAGACATTATTGTGTTTATCCCATTTCTGATTGAATTTAGAATCTTGTACAATAGAAGACGTGTGCCGTGTTTTCCAAAGACTCTGAGGCATATTTCAGGAGAAAATTGTGACAAAATCGATGACAAGCACTGGACGATTGTTGTGGCCTTTTAGTGACTAATAATTGTACATAAAACAAACAAACTGCATTGCCAACGTCTCACAGGTGTAATTTCCTTTATTGTGTATTGATCCAACATCTAATGGATTGTGCGTCTATAAAGCATTCCGGTAAACTGTTTTTTAAAGATTCAAAGAAATGAGCTTGTAGTCTTAATCTATGGTGTCGTCAACGTACTACATTTATAATCAATTTTGATATAAGAATAAAACATTCCTTACCCCACGACTAATTTTGATAGCGATGATAAATACTAAAATCTCGTTGTTTCACGTTTTGGGCTGAAACAAGTTGAATAGTTTTATCCCAAATATTTGATTATCAAGGTTTATTATATTGATTATTTGCCAACAATTTTAGTAATGGATTAATTGTTTTTTGAATCATACACAGATTTTAAACACGCCATAAAGAGGTTTTATGACTCAGACCTGGAATTACAGCAGAAAGTAAATACTGCAGAAATGAAAGTGTCAAAAACAGTATATTTAACCAAACAACCAAATTTGTTAAAGATTGTTTATGTGAAGATATTCTTGAGTGGATACGCTTTAGCTTTGTTTTGGTTGATATTTAAAAACTAAATAACAAAATAATTGTTAATTACAGCCTGACTCAAAATAATAATACTTTTTATGGGCCCACAAGATTTGGCACAAGCTTTCCTGATACAGGCGAAAAAGTAATTTGATAAGTTTTGGTGTTGATTAATATATGATTTTTTTTATACTTCGAACATTATAAGAATGAATATAGCGAGTGAATGGTGTGTATGATCCTGGTGCACAACGGGGAAGTCTTGTACAGTTATTCCAATAAGGTTTTACTGCAAATAGCAAATAATGGCAAATAAGAATCTGAATCTTGCTTCTGTCATCACTGTGTGTGTGGAGTGGCTTTGTGTGACCTTGTTCTGAAATGAAATGTAAATATGGATTACTTTCTTACTGATGTTCATACTGATGTTTCTGACCTGCTGTGTCCAGTGCGACAGTCTGAAGCTGGAGCTGAAGGACCTGCAGGAGCTGTATGAGAGCAGCCAGAGGGAGAGGGCGGAGCTGGAGGACGAGCTGCAGCGATGCAAGGCTGAGCTGGAGAAACTGTCTGGAGGGGCCCAGGTACGACCGGCACAACACAGGGGGCGCTATTTCAGAACACGAACACACAAAAGACAGAAAATGTACCATTTCAATCAAACTTGCACTGGAGTCACACATAATAATGCATCGTTTTTTTTTTATATAGCGCTTTTTTACATACTGAAAAGGTTCTCAATGAAACTTTACAAACAAAATCTTAGTTATGCAGAGGTGGCAAAGTACCCGTCTTAAAGTATAAGTATACACAGTGGTCTCTCATTTATTACTGGCTCTAAATAAGAATCCTAAATAATCCTCAATAAGCGAAATCCCTGAAGTAGCAGCCTATATGTTTTAAGGCTGTAAAACCCCACACACCCCTTTATACACTTTTTTAACACCTGAACTCATGACTGTGACTTAGAGGGTGGAGATATCAAACCTGTTCGTTATATGTCTGAGCTGAACTAATCACAACTTTTGTTAGTTAGAAGAAAACAACTGTCAGACTGTTAGACTAGCGGATATTTGATGATATTTGAGTATACACACATGAAGTATACACGAGAAGCATGCTGTACTGTATACAGTGTAACAGTGAACGGCGTTATAGTGAAGGACCACAATACAGAAACATCTACTCTGATGTAGTAAATCGAAATGAGTATAAAAGTACAGTAAAGTCAGTTAAGTAAAAAGGTAAAATTTTCAATTTTTATTGAACCATTGACAGTCAATATATTTTTAGAACGTTTTAAGAATTGCCTTAAAAAGTTGCCACCTCTGTATATAGTTATGTGTCTATACAGGCCCATTGTTACAGGTATATAACTAAACACCCAAGAGTTTTTGCAATCAAGATTTGTCGCATAATTTGCAGGATTCTCCACAAAGGAGTTTTCTATAGTTTTGAATTGCAATCTGTCACAGCACATGCCGTCGTCTTTCTGCTCTGAAAGACAATCAAATCTATTCATGAGCTCCATTATATCTCACTGTGCGAGATCTGAGAAGTTGTTTCTCAATGTTTTCTTTGCAATTTGCATTTTTGCATTGTTCAGTCAGGACACATTACATCACACTTTGATTTTGTGTCATCTTTCCTTTTGTGTAGTGCCACCTTTTGTCAAGTCTGATACAAGTAGCAATCTCCCTCCCAGAAATTGGCTTCAACTTTTCCGCAACATGTTTTTAATCTCCCATCATTCACATATGGTGCCTGACTGAATATGTTCTGTTTGTTTGGTAGGAGCTGAATCGATAATGTGAAACTGTCAGATGTCCTATAACACATTTCACACATGTCTGCTATGTTCACTGAACCTGTTCTGTCTTCGTCTCACTCACTCTATATGCGCTGTGATGGGGTCAGCTCATATCGCTATATGTTCTGACCTGGGCTATCTGCTCCCCCTGTGTCTGTCCATTAAACCACCATAAATGTGCAACGGCTATTTTCAAGCTAGAGGTGCGCCATAAATGATTCAAGATTGAAAATAGATACTTCTAACTTTTTTGTTCTGTAGTAAAAATAACTTGTCCTTTGTCTTTGTGGGGTGTCTGTGCTGTCAAACTGTCCAACTGTCCCTGTCCTTGTTCTCTGAGTGTCCATGACCCTTCAGCCTGTGCGACTGCTATCACATACTGATTCAAAAGAATGAAATGGAGTTCAATGAGGCTAGAGAGGCAATTATACCACTATATGTGTTTGTCACTGTTTATGTTTTTTCCCATGCCACATGCGGCCAAGAAGCTCAACACACTCACATTCAGAGGTGGAATCAGAACAGCTATACAATGCATTCATTTACATTGGAGGAGAGAAGGATTTCAATCAATTGTAACACTTAGAATGTTATATTATGATAATCTTTCTTGACTTTGTGATAATCATAATAAAACATGAATGATTTGCCTCAATAAATTCAAAATCAACCTTTTTGAGCGTTAAACTCTATTACAACATTATACCCTCATCAAAAACAGACCTGGAGTTGGTGTTTTTAATTAGGCTCAGACTAATATCAGGAACTTCTGGCCCAAACATGTAACCCCGCTCCTTCTGTCTAAAAGATCCTGTCTCAAACCAGTATGATGTAATTGTAAGACTGTGACAACAAGTGAAATGTCATTCTTTGCAATCACATGACACATAACACATTTATAGCTGGTAATTTTCACATTTAAAAACAATTTCAACTCTTACCTCTAGTGGTAGCAAAGGGAGTTACAAGCAGAAAGCATTTTTTGATCCATAATACTTGCTTCACCAAACATTTTCTACTCCACATTCAAAAACATTAAATGACACAGTAAAACATCATATTTTAGTGGCCAAAATAATGCATAATACTTATACTTGTAGTCTTTTCACAGGTATTGACATTTCTACCCCTTAAAAAAGTAATACAAGTCTTAAACATAGTAATAAAACGTAGATTTATAGATGCACTAAATAATGGCGGAAGATGACAAAATCAGATTAGTTACAGGTGTGATCTGTGTAGAGGCAAACATTCTCACAATAATAATGTTGACACTTCACCTTTAAATGCATGGTTCCACCTCTGACAAGCTTGTTACAATTAAATTATGCCTTGTTTTTTTTTCCTTTACACTTGACTCCTCCCATGCCCTTCAAACACAGCCATAACACCCCATTTAGTATTATTTAATAACTGTATGTTCCCATATATATAAATATAAACTGTATATATGTGTTGCCATACAAGCTGTATATTTGTGTTTATGATTTGCTGTATCGTGTCCATCTTCATTCATTCCGCCCGTCGCCCTTGTGCTTGTCCCATCAGAGACTCACCCATGCGTCTGAGCACCCTGTTCTCTCCATCCCCTTCATAGGAATGATTGTAATAGTGGCAGTGGTCTGGTGCTGGTTGTCGGAGCTGGCGTCCCAGAGAGCAAGGTACGGGAAGAGACCCCAACTTCTACACACAATGGAAAATAAATGCAAAAAATATTTATAACAGGCAGGTAAAGATGTCCTGCAATTAAAACTGCTTTGTTTATTATGAAAATATTTGAGGAAACAATATAAAATGGGATAAGAGAAATTTGTATATGTCCCACAGTGGGGAAAATGCAGGGCACGATCAGGACTGTAGGAATCAGGAACACACAAAAAATTACAATTCAATATATTCTTGTCTCGCTCTAAATCACAACAGCGGTCGTCTCGGAGGACATTACAATGTTGTTGATTCGCCAACATCAGATAATAATAATAATAACAATACATATATATGGCGCCTTTCTAAGCACTCAAGGTTGCCTTACAAATGGTACAAAGTTAAAAGCAAAAACAGTTCAAAACAAAAACAGTTAAAACATACAGTTGAAAATAAGAAAATCAAATAGTTTGAAAACACAATAATAATAAACACATAAGCCATTGGTTCATAGGGAGCAATATGACCAAGGTCTGTAAATATGTACATAAATGTCCTGGATCAACATTGTCCTAACACTCTCCTGCAGCAACAAGAACGACTCAAATATGAAGTAATCTCCCGATGTAGACAACAGCAGGGTTTCCGAAAATACAGTGATGTGATTACTGTATATGAAGCAGCAGCATATGGGCAGAATGTACAGTATATATAAGTAATTGTATATTCATTCAAGTGACTTCACAATGTGGTCTTCAAGATAATGCTGGAATTGTATATCAAGAATGTAACTTTATTTTCTTATATAGTATGAAACACAATCTAAATGGGGAAAAGGATTATTTGTGAGGTGCAATGTTGTCAAAACATTGAAACAACTTGTACAATAAGGCATAATGAAAACAGATTATCAAGCACAAGGGACAGTTGAGCAGTTTGACAAATTGTAACACACATTACATTATAATGACATATTCTTCTAATTAGTGTTTTGCCATTTTACATAACCTTCCTGCAAAGACGATTGGCCGTTTTTGATTCAATTAAAGCTACACACTTTCTGAGTTAATTCATTGCATACATTCAGTTAAAATGTTTTACACTTTTCCTATTTGGAGGTAAAGATACTGCCCACATATGCCGGGCTAATTATTGCACAGTGGAGCAGCAGACCTTCCTGTGCCCCTATTTTTAGCCTCACACTTAAACACACACTGAATAAATGCTAATCCCCTCATCTTCTCTCTCTCGGCAGGAAGGCAAAAGGCCACATTTCCCCAGAATACTACCTCTGTACTGGTTTTAATAATAGCATAGTCCAATTGTGAGCGCTAATGCTGCTTTCTCTCTGCTGTTTTTCCCTCAGGGGGGTGAGATAGGTTGGGGCTCCATTTTGACGGTCACTGCAGCCACAGCGGCGCTCCTAATGATGACTAGCTTATTGAGAGCTCTAGTCCGCTGCTGATTGGACGGCGACGGTCACCGCACGGCGAGGACGCGCACACACCCGGGTATCTCTCCTGCCATGTGTATAGACTGCCATTCTTGTTTTTGTACAAAATATTATAAAGGAGCGGGGAGATGGTGTCCCTATAATGAGGAGGTACTTCACGCGGGCAGACGGCGGGAAGGCTCGGCCCACGCTTGAGTGGCGTCTGATGAAATTCATTAAGATGAAGATGACCTGACCTGACTGCTTATATTGTATGCTAGTGCTGTGTCATTGTCTGTGCATAACTCTTCCACGGCAAAATACAACGAAGCTTTTACTATTGTGCGCTTCTGACGCGTTTATTGATGATTTTATTTATTTATTTGGATGTTCTGTTTGTTGTAGGCGTCTTTGATAATAATGATAAATATACGTTGAATGCACTGAACCCTCACGGTCCCTTTAAAAACTATAGCGGCTTGTTTTACTTCCTCTTGCATAATAATTCAAATTACCTCTGAATGTTAAGCAAAGTCAGCGTGCTATCCCGTAAAGCCGCTGAGTGCTTTGACAGAGCGGCAAATAGAGTGCAGCCTCAATACGCGCCTGTCAATCAATCGTCAAGGTGATCTTTGACCTTTAGTAAATGCGTTTTTCTATAATGTGCTGTGTGTGTGTCTTACTGCACATCGGCTGCAACAGTTGTACACAGTCTTAGTTATGACGCATTTTTTGGTACAATTAAGATGAAAAAAACCCCAAAACTAAATATATACTAATTAATGATAATGTATTCCTTAAATATCGCCCCTTCTCTTTATCAAAGTGGTACAGATGGGATTTCGAGTTCGTACGACAAACAAATGATTTTTTGAGTTTTTAAAAATGAAAAAAAAACGGAATTAAAATCTCACATTTTCAGTTTGACTAATTCAACATGTAAACTTTATATGCAGCCATGTTTGCAGCTGAGCATTTAAAGTTAACAGTTAAAGGGACTGTATGCAACATTTAAATTAATTTATTTTAGATTTAATTAACATTTGTTATATATTTTTATTTTCAAATGACATTAACAACTTGTCCCCAGATAGATCATATTTGGCCTTTTCGCAACAAAACAATAGATACAATAATAAATATGTTTACGGTTTTCAAGCTGGTTATCTAATCAGAATCAAGAGAATTCGTTTTTCCATTAGGGTCGCCAGTTTCCTCTTAATTTAAAACATAAAAAACAGCACCACACAATGAAAGCAGACTACACACTACAAAGTTCTTACTGTTTCTAGCTAAACCCCAGCAGGTGGATTGCATCTGTAATCAGGGTTTAGGAGCTACATTAAGATGAAGATATCCTTTAGTCCCACACAAATTTCAGTGTTGCATTACTAGTTACAGAACAGCAGGAATGAGGAGCACAAGATAAGTGAACAATAACTCCTTAATTCCTTAAAAATAAAATACAATCTCTAACTTTAGCATCACAAAGTATAAGCTAGTACACATGTGACACAGGAGGTGAGTGCAGACTACATACAGCCCCTTTAAGTGTAAACACAAAGTTTAGTAAACTAACACACATCTGAATATACTACATGTATACGTCGTGAATATTTGTTTACAGTTGTGACATTTTACTTTTGTGAATGATTTGTTTTTGTAGGAACCTAAGCATGCAGCAAACTTAGAAGCACAATCTCTAATGTATGTTTTGTTGCTTTGTATTTGATGTAAATAGATGCAACTCCAACAGTGCAGACCTGTGGGACAGTCAGAACTGTATTTCTTAAACTCATTTGTAATAGCTTTGTAGAAAGTTGATTATTTTTGGGAGAGCAAATGTATATTTGATATCTAAATGATATGTTTAATTAGATGTGTAATATTTATGTTGCTGTTACTCGGCTTTAGAACCTCCTGGGTTTGTTTGTTCTGTGATGAAAAGATGAAAGGCAAACACGATCTGCTTTTAAGAATAACATTGTCGATGGTGGTAAGAGTGTCTAATTGTACCCACCAATCACCGCATGTATTTGCCCATAGTATTAACATATTCAATTTCAATATTAGCATTCCAAAAACACAGAAACAAACTAAACAAACCACCTTCTTTCTTTCTTTTTTTAAAGCTGGGGTACCTGACTTACAAACCACAACAAACGGAACATTGTAAAAAGAATTGGTTCTGCACTAGCTTTTACATACACATTTTTGGCCTCCGCCACATCTTGGGATCAGCTTCTTTCAGACAAAAAAGCTCCACCCTCACTCAGCCAGTCCTTGTTACAAGTATTCATAATGTATTTATGATAAGATAACGACAGCATGAGGTTCAGCATTTTACAAGACTTTCTCTTGTGACATGGAATGCATAATATATGACGTTTAAAACCGTTATGTACCCCTGCTTTAATGCTACATCGAATAGTTAATAACTTATTTTATTGTAAGAGCCCCAGCCCTAATTTATATGATTATTAATGAACCTGTTGTTTTTCCATGACCACTTTTACTTCTATGCTTCGATGCTTCTATATCGGACAATGTTTCTCTGCTTGCTGCTTACATGTAGGATTGATGTTTGCAATATTATAACTACGTGTGGCTATTTTGTTACCTGGAGGTCTATTTTGTACTGTAAATGACTTGAAGAAATAAAAATAACTTCCTTGCAAGACTGACTGAGACATTTCTTTACATAGATAGTGGTCTCATAGTTCCAAGTCTAGGAATCCCATTCATGAGGATCTCTCAGGATCGTTGCGTCCCAGGCCGGCATCGCGTTACTCATGTTGTAGTGGTATTAATAACTTAAACTGCAGAGGGAGACATGATGTAAGCAAACAGATATAGTTTAGTTACACATTAAACAGACAGACTGTGGTGTTGGGAGTCCTTCCTGCCACAACTCATTACTCTGTCATCAGGAGTCATGCTTGACCCGGGCTTAGTGCATGATTATCTAAAAGTAGCAGTGATGAGTTACATCAAGCTCTATGATATCTAAACTGTCACTTATTTACGCTAAAGGGAAAGGGTTTTTTGGTATATGACAAATCAACTTTTAAAAGATTCTGGTGGCAATTGATCAAAGAACTTTTAACATACTGAACATACAATAATACACTGGAATTATCAAACGTTATCAAGCAACGTTAAGAGCAAAATGGGTATAAACTATGTGTAAAAGGTTAATAATGCAAGCAGCGCAAATATTCTAAATTAAATGTGGGGGTACCGACCTTTCAAATACTAAAAACTATGTCTATATAATCCAATCCATTTTACTGTAGTTCTTAGTTCTCAAAGGTTTCACATCTTTATATCATCTTTTTCAGACAGGAAAAGAGAGGACCATCATCACTCAGCCGAACAGTTCTCAGCCCAAAGGATCACGGCTCTTTCTCAGAAGCAAGCGACTGTTTTTGAATTAGATGAAGACAGCATGTTGTGTTTTACTTTTACACGACTATTTCTGTTGGACAAATATAGGCACTCTTGACAATAAAATAAATGAAAAATCCTTTAATAAACAGGGATTTTTCCACGTGTTTCGGCCACGCAGGGCCTTCTTCAGGGCATATGTGAATGTAAAGTATCATCAATTAAACAAAAAAGTTAGGCACCCCAGCTTTAATAAAGGCTAATAAAAAGGTCAACATGTTGCCTCCTCTTTGTTAATAGACTGTGTACAAACCTGAGACTGCACAGTATGTGGCAAGTTAAAAAAGGAAAATGACCAGGAACTCTAGTCTCTCTATTCAAAGCAGGGTATGACAACGTTTTTATGTCATGATTGATGTTATAGAATATGGAGGGAAAATGTCACCCGTAGCATATAAAACCCTAAATCTAATAGTTTCTGTCTTGTTTTGTCAGAATTATGGATGCCCAAATGAAAAGTGCATTAATGGGTAAAGTGTCAGTCACAGATCACCAGTGGAACCTAATCAAAGGCCTATCTGTCCGGTGCATGTCCCCCAAATCCTACTCTAAATATTTAAAGACCTTATGACGGGTTTGATTTATTTAGAAATACAGTTTTAATACCATTTTATATTAGAAGAGAACTACTAAAGGTTTCAAAATCAGTTGTTGTTTTTTTTGTCTGATCCCCCCAAATTGAAATAACCCCATAGCAACGCCCTTAGAAACGAAAAAACTTCACAGCCCTTGGTGACGTCAGAACGGGTACGTTTCAACGCTGTAAGTTGTTTACAATTTGGTATTCGTTATTTTTTCGCGGATATTCAAGATGACAAGGCGGTGTACAGCGAGTCTAAGATAACTACTAGATGGTAACATTTGTTGTCACTGAGATAGTCCAGTAGTTGTGTCGATGGACTGTCAATCCAGATACTTGGGTTCAAATCCCACCTCGGACACTTTTTCACACTCAAAACGGCAATTTATGTGTAGTGAGCAATTGTCACCTGTAGAGTGCAGTATTGTGTTGGGCATCAGTGGAGAGAAGGCAGTCCTGTGGCATAGATCCATGGTTTTCAATGCATGGGCGTAACCCATGGATGTATTATATTAACTGGATAGGGTATTACTAGCTTGTAGCTGAATAACTCACGTGCTCAGGGGATTCTTGCGGTACTGCAGACTGAATCAGACTAAATTCACGTGGGCTACCCAGAAATTTTCCCCATAGAACTCAATGCATATTAAAACAGCTCAACCTCAGCTGACAGAGAACCTACAGCTTTAATAAAGATCGGATTTTGTGGGGATTTTAGTGTCCCTTATCATCCTGAACTTTTTTTCTTCTTAAATCCTTCGGTTTTGTTTAAATCCACACTTTAGTGCCACAAACTCTGCTCCTCTGGCTCTCGCTCTAACTCCCGCTCTGATGAACTGCTCTGATTGGTCAGAGCGCGGCCGAGCCCCTCTGTGCACGTGCGTGAGACCTGGTGTGAGACCCACACACGCGTGTTTGGC